AAGGAGAAAGTCAGCCAACCTGTGATGCCAGTCCCCATAGGTGAGTTTCTTCAAGGCGTCCTTGGTGATGCGAACCATGCGTTCAGCCATACCGTTGGTGGACGGGTGGAAAGGTGCAGAAGTGGCATGACGAATCATGTTAGCCTGCAAGAAAGCTTGGAATTCAGAGGAAGTAAATTGAGGGCCGTTGTCAGACACAATGACATCTGGGAGCCCGTGTGCAGCAACAATCCCCCTCAGTACCTGAATAGTCTTTGCAGTGGTGGTGGATGAGACAGGTACAACCTCAAGCCATTTTGAATGGCTATCAACGAAGAAGAATTGGCCTGAAAGGGCCCAGCATAGTCAATGTGCACCCTAGACCATGGGGACTGTGTTTCCTCCCATCTATGCACAGGAGCTTGGGGCATCTCTGGGCGAGAGCGTTGGCACAGGTGGCATGCATGCACCTTAGCCTCAATGTCCTTGTCTAGACCAGGCCACCACAAGTGGCTGCACGCAAGGGCCTTCATTCGAACAATGCCAGGATGACCCTCGTGGAGGGAACCTAAGATCCTAGTCCTCATTGAAGTGGGAATGACAACTCTGTTTCCCCAAAGCAGACAACCCTGAGAGGTGGACAACTCGTTCCTTTTAGACCAGAAACTCTGAAACTCAGGACTAGGACAGTGCTCAGGCCATCCAGACAAAATCCAAGAAAGGACACGTGAAAGTGTGTGATCTGTGCCTGATTCAGCGGCTACATCCTTGGCGTTCAGAGGGGACTCTGGCAAGGCTTGGATGGATAGAACGTTAACAGCTGGCGCAGGGTCAGCTTCTATTACTGGCAGGGGCAATCTACTGAGGCCATCAGCATGGCCCATCTCTTTCCCAGGCTTGTGAAATAATGAAAAATTATATGCAGACAAAAAAATAGACCACCTGAACATTCTAGGTGAAATGATTTGGGGAGTTTGCTTACATGTGGTAAACAGTCCCAGCAGAGGCTTATGGTCAGTGAAGACCGTGAAATGCCTGCCATATAAAAAATCATGGAATTTTTTAATTCCAGCAACAACAGCTAAAGCCTCCCTGTCTATCTGAGCGTAGTTGCGCTCAGCAGAAGACAATGTTCTGGAGTAATATGCAACAGGAACCTGAGTTTCATCAGACCTGAGGTGGCTCAGGACAGCTCCGACCCCGTAAGGGGAAGCATCACAAGCGATGCACACAGGAAGGGACTCATTGAAGTGTGCAAGTACACTGTTAGAAGTGAGCAAGGCCTTGACCTCATTGAAACTATTCTCACGTATTTGTGACCACTGCCACACTGCTTGTTTGTCTAATAGCCTGTGAAGAGGCTCAGCTACACTAGCTTTATGTGGAAGAAAAGAATTGTAGAAATTCAGGAGGTCCAGGAAGGCCTGAAGTTCGGCCTTAGACTTTGGCCTAGGTACTTCTAAAATGGCAGTTAGTTTGGATTCAGCAGGGTGAATCCCAGCAGCATCAATTTTGAACCCCAAAAATTCAGTAGAAGGCACCCCTATTTTGCATTTGTCCTTCTTAAGCTTGAGGCCTGTCTTCCTGAATCTTAATAAAACAGCCCTTAGCCGTTCAGCTAGAATGTGTATGGAGTCTCCTGCAATTAAGACATCATCAAAGTAGGGGCAAACCCCCGGTATACCTCGTAGTGTGTTTTCCATTACGCTTTGGAAAATCCCAGGAGCGACATTTACTCCAAACTGTAGCCTTTTTACTTTAAAGGCTCCCCTGTGGGTCACAATGGTCTGAGCTATAGCAGCATCATCATCAACAGGCAGCTGTTGATACGCTTGAGCTAGGTCAAGCTTTGCAAAAACACGCCCCCCCTTGAGAGAGGCCAGGATATGACTGACCACAGGAACAGGATAGGCATGTTGCTGTAATGCCTTATTCAGAGTGCATTTGTAATCGGCACAAATGCGAATGTCCCCATTTGCCTTTAGAGGCGTGACAATGGGGGTCTCCCAAGGACTGGAGTCAACAGGTTCTAGAATTCCTTGTTGGATCAGTTTGTCCAACTCAGTGTCAATTTTACTCTTTAAAGCAAAAGGGACCCTTCTTGCTTTAATTCTAATGGGAGTGACAGTGGGGTCTAGCTTTAAGGACACAGGGGGTCCTTTGAATGTGCCCAGCTGGGGGCTGAAGACATCTGCGAATTCTTTGCAGACTTCCTGCAGATCGAGTGTTTGTAAGCTGTTGAGCCCCGTGACGTGTATCCCCAAGGCCTCAAACCACTCGAGTCCTATGAGACTCGTTCGTTCACCCCCTACTACTAATAGGTCTAGTGGACCTTCAAAATTCTTGTACTGAACGTTAAGGGTGGCCTCCCCCTTAACACACACTCTCGAATTCTGAAAGTCTGTTAGCACAATGTCAGAAGGCCTTAACTTGGCCTGAGTTCCACTGCCGGAACAAATCTTCCTAAATGTATGTAAGGAGATGATTGAAAGTGCAGACCCCGTGTCTAGTTCCATAGTTAATGGAACCCCTTGTAGCTTCACCTTGAGTGACAGCTTTTTCTTAATTGGCTTTTGTGTGCCTGTCCTAAGGATGCTCCTTCGCGAAGCGCAAAACCCCACCCTATTCTGGCTGGGGACCCTGGTACCTTTCAGGCGTAATTCTTCCTGAGGTTGTACCTTTCGTCGGCCCAGACACACAGCAGCAATATGTCCTTGTTTTCCGCACGCCCGGCAGATAGCGGAGCGGAACTTGCAGTCAGTTCTCCTGTGGCGACCTCCACAGCCGATGCACTTGAGGGGAGCTGAAGAGCTTCCTTTCTGGTTCCCTTCCTTCGTGGGGTGGAGACGGTCGACTTCCTCGTCCGGATCCTCCTCGGAGTTCCCTTGGACTTCTTCTTGGTGCACGGATGCAACATCTGGACTGTTCCTGATCGGCCGCATGTTCTTAATGGCGCCGCCTGCTGCTTCTTCTGCGGTGACTTCTCTCAAGGCATCTTGGAAGGACAAGTCCTCTTTGGCGAAAAGCCTCTGTTGTAACTCTCGATGCCTTAGCCCGCACACGAATCGGTCCCTCAGTCGTTCTTCAAGGTCCTTGAACTCGCAGTGCTTGGCGGCCTTTCTTAATGCGGCGATGTATTCTTTGGCCGATTCTCCGGATCGTTGATCCCTCTGCTCGAAGGTGTGGCGCCATGCGATGACGGACATCTTAGGCTGGAAGTGCTCCTTCAGTAGCTTCTTTAGATCTGCGTAGCTGACAGACTCTAATGGGACAGGTGCTGCGAGGTTCTCCGCGATTTCGAAGGCATCTTGACCGCAGACACACAACAGCTATCTTCCCTCACTTGGTTCACCTTGAGGTAGTTTTCCACCCTGGCTACGTAGGACTCCCACCTCTCTGGATGTGAGACGTCGAACTCCGAAAGCCTTCCAATTTTTGCCATCTTCAGGAGACGGGTCTATCAGCCGGCCTACCCCCGAATGCGCACTGGATTGGCGGGTAGCTGCCGAGTCAACACCGTTCCGCCGCTCAGGACTCACTTGGGTAAGCTTACACCTTTTTTTTCTTTTCCGTCGGTGCAAGGCATCCCATCCTCGTCGCCAGTGTTGAGTCCTTCGCGAAAGGCAAGACACGAGAAGCAGTTGTAGTTCTCAGGTTTTCTTTTATTCTGTGTTCAGGTTACAGATGAAGGCTTCAGCAACGCCCAAAAGCTCCCAGCCTCTTATATAGGCAATTCCCGGGTCAATGTGTTACTTTTCCTGCGCCAGCACCCGCGCATGCGCACAGGCGCTGGCGACAGCCTGTCTGGTCCCGGGCAGCTTGCACCTGCCCGGGACTGCCTGCAAACGCCCTGAGCCCGTTTGCAAGGCTCGGGACATAACATTAATAGTTACAAAAGAACAGGAAACTACCCTATTAGCCAAGGAAAGCAAGTACCATCTGCAGTGTAGAAATTGCTCCCTATCTACTGCTCTCTAACCAGATGTGCAAAGCGGTAGCATATATGTCAGTTAAACATCTTATCAAAGGGCCTGTTGTGTAGATGAGCAGATTTGCTCATTGGTTCCTTGTTAATTTTTTGAATAGAGCTAGGAACGTTGCATCCTTTACCACTGAATATCATAGCTATATCAATTAATTACAACTAACTAATAAATTGATATACATAAATAGTAGCATGGCTACTAGTAAGGAGTGTAGGATTTCAGTTCTGGAGATACAATGCTATAAGCTTGAGAATATTTTTTTCCCCTGTATCCATGATATCATATCCTTGTGTAATTGATCAGCACTCTTTTATCACTCAACTGGAGATGGAGGGATTGATCTAAAATGACCGATGTAAATTAAGTATCTTGCATATTAAAAAATATCCTCCCACATCTAGGTTGTTTTTTAAGCAAAAGTGAAATCAATTCCATAGAATGAAACATTCTTAGTAATTCTTCTACACTTCCAATTTCTTATTTATATTTCTCATTAATTCATGAAATAAAAATGATTCACATTGATGGATGCCAGATTTGAAAAGTATGCAATTATAAATATTGAATTTGATAGCAAAGGTCTAAATCACTTGCTTTGTTTTTATATTCCCCTATCACTACCCCACCATATCAAAAAGCAATTAGAACAAAAGAAAAATTTTTTGCATCAAAGCCTTCACTTAATGTTTTACCTCTACAGGTTTGAAAGCTTTCTGTTCTCCCCCTTTTCATCAAAAGTATATGGCAACATTTAAGAAATGTTAAGTGGCTGGATCTTATGGGAATCTCAGTAAAACAACAACAACCCTGCAGACAAGAACAAGATTGGGGAAGGTGGATAACCAGCACACAGTATGAAGCTAGTGGTCCATGTATTTTATATTCCCTTTAGTGTGCTGGAGACCATGCTTGGGAACAGCAGTAGTTCAATTTATGTGTAAACATAATTCAGAGCATTTATACTATCCCAGATGCAAAAATAATTTTATTTTCTATTAATCCTGGGGTTAAACTGGTTCCCTAACCAGTTCTTACCTGATTGGAGCAATCCCGGACGGTGGGGAAATAATATTGGCTTGACAAATTTGTTGAATTTCTTACCCGGCTCCTGCTAGCATGGATATTTCTTCTAACTCTAGTTTCTTCCTATAGCTGCTTCCTAGTTTTCTAGTGAGTAGGCTAAGGCGTTCCCCTGCCCATCTCACCTTTCCAGTTTCACTACCTTGATAATAAACAGCCAAGTCATCAGAACGCTTATTCCTTAACTCTTTGTAATGCCGATGAGAGAGACAAGGCCCATAATGTTCTTATGTCACTTACTAATAATGCAGGACAGTTTGGTTCAGCCGGAGGCACTTTATTCAAAGCTGTTGAGGTGGCCAAAATTAAAGGGGGGGGGAGGATGGAAGATTCCTGCAAGCCAGAACAGCTTATGTAGCCCCAAACCATTATTTTTTTCTGAAGATATGTCATTTGTGATCAGCAGGACATATAAAGTAGTGAGCTGCTAATGTTTTGGGGACTATTCAGCAGCTCTGCACAGAAAATGCTTCTCAATATACTATAAATGAGATCAGTCTTTCCCAAATTAGCTTCTCCTCAAGTCAGCAAGCAATTATACCTCCAAAGATATAATAGAGCACCAGGTTGAAGGAATCAGATGCAGGTGTTTGAATTTGAAATGCAGGCATATTTTATTATGTGTTAGGCAGAAAAGAACTATGTTTGTATTAACTGCTACAGGTACAGATGTATTTACAATACCTCTCGAAAGGTATCCAAGTGATCAAGGTGGAGGAGACAAGTCGATCAATGATTACTACCCACGATCATAATAAAATGCTTCAAGCAAGCAACAGATGACAGCTGTAATCCTAATGCCTCATTTGTAGGTGCCCCAAACCCGGACATTTCTGGTTAAAACTATGGTCTAAAATAAGAGAAGACAGAATATTATGTGCTTGACGACATGACAAAATGGGTAATCTTGGAAAAACAGGGTTCACAAGCAAATGAGCATGGGAGTTCCAGGATTCAAAGGGATTTTATAAACACCCTCTAGTTTATTCCTTAATGCCAGCCCGGTCAGAGATTCATATATATTTTTTTTAAAAAAAGTAACTGCTTCAAAGTACAAACAGATAAATGGCATAATTGATTCCTCATAAACGGGAGAAAAGTCCCAGCACACACAAAAGTTACATTTTGGGAAAGGAGTCTTTTTCCTTATATACAGTATATATTTTTTTCTGTGCAATATGTTTTATATATGAACTTTAATGTGTGATTTCCCTATCCAAAGTGATCATAGCATCATGTAAAGTTTCCCTATGTTTCTCCTCCTTCTCCTCTTTACAAAATAGAAGTTAATCATCTTTCTTACTTTCCCCACTCTCTGAATAATCATCTAACTTATTCTACAATAGCATGATTGAATTGCAGTTATTAATTGTATTACTTTCCAGTAGATCGGGAGTGTCAAACTGGCGGCCCATGGGCTGGATGTGTCACATTTCCGCAAAGGCAAAAATTGTTGCGATATGTCACAATACATCACATGACGTGATCGAGTTGGACACCCGTGCAGTAGAGATGAATGCAATGAAATTGCAACTAGCTTGAATGGAGGACTTCTCTGAGGAGACAGGGTGGATAAATCCGCCAAAAGTCTCAACCATATCCTGCAAAGTAGACTACCAGCTGTTCTGTAATAGGACTCTTTATGGTGGTATTCCATTTTAGAAAAGTACTACTGAGGCAGCGGGCTCGGAAGGATAAATTTCTTGCAAAGACTCCCAGTTTCTGACTTACAATACATGGAATTCATATTATTCAAAGATTCATATATCATAAATAATGCCACCTGCGTAGTATTATATTGACATAGGGCAGCTGGCCTGAAGGAAAAGAAATATTTAATAATTACAGAAAACTAGATTTTGGAAAATGCAACTTTCTCTTTCTTCCTTCATTCCGTTGCTGCCTAAACCTTTGAGCTTATTTCAGAGGGACAGATCTGATAAGGACTTGGGGGAAAATGCCTCTTTGTAGCATGTCCTGGTTCTCCTTCCAGTCACTTTCTTTTATTCCCATCCAAAATCCTTTTCCCTAGAAAAAGAAAACAAGCAAACAAACTTCAGTCAGAGGTTTTCCATAAGCACAATTGTTATAATTGTGAAATTTGTTTGTTATAATGTGTTATAATTTTTGTCATATTTGTTATAATTTAGAAATTTGGAAAGGTGACTTGAATCTTTATGCATAGAAAACAAGTCTTCAAAGATGGTAAACGTAGGACATTACAAATGATAGTAATCATTATGCTAACAGTGCAATGTTTATAAGGGTTGACTAGTCCCTGCAGTTTTCTTGGCAACATTTGGAAGTGGCTTGCCCTTGCCTCCTTCCAAGGCAGTGTTTGGCTGGCTGTGGAATTCTGGGAGTTGAAGTCCACATGCCTTAAAATTGTCAAGGTTGAGAAACACTGTTCCAAGGGCTGAGATTGAGAGACTGGCCCCAAATCACCTGGCTGTCTTTGTATCTATAGAGGGACTATAATTCATGGTCTCCCAGTTTCTAGCTTGGTGCTGTAACGTATACATACATATATACGCAGACACACAAAACACACACACACACATATACATACATAGCTACTTTTATAGGAAAGAACTGTTCAGTGTTGTTTCTGCTAAAGAGAGAGTTAATGATTAATGGAGGGCTGTGGTCATATCAGACACAAACGTACAAAGAGAGACAAGTAAATAAACCTAAAAACTAATGGCAACAGCAATAGCAGTTCTGTACTCTCTCTAAACAGCATGACATTTTCAGCAGAACAGGTGACTCCAAATTACACCTTATATTTTGTCAAACGGAGATCCTGCTTTGCAAGGAGGAGAAAGCCCAAGGCTCAAGACTTGAAGAAGGCAAGGCATACATAATAATAGTAAAGTTGGAAGGGACCTTGGAGGTTATCTAGTCCAACCTCCTGCTCAGGCAGGAAACCCTATATCATTTCGGACAAATGGCTGTCCAGTCTCTTCTTAAAAACTTCCAGTGTTGGAGCATTTACTGCTTCTGGAGGCAGGCTGTTCCACTGATTAATTGTTCTCACTGTCAGGAAGTTTCTCCTTAGTTCTAGGTTGCTTCTCTCCTTGATTAGTTTCCACCCGTTGCTTCTTGTCCTGCCTTCAGGTGCTTTGGAAAATAGCTTAATTCCCTCTTCTTTATGGCAGCCCCTGAGATATTGGAATACTGCTATCATGTCCCCCCTTGTCCTTCTCTTCGTTAAACTAGACATACCCAATTCTAGCAACCGTTCCTTATATGTTTTAGCCTCCAGTCCCCTAATCATCTTTGTTGCTCTTCTCTGTACTCTTTCTAGAGTCTCAACATCTTTTTTACATCGTGGTGACCAAAACTGGATGCAGTATTCCAAGTGTGGCCTTACCAAGGCATTGAAGAGTGGTATTAATACTTCACGTGATCTTGATTCTATCCCTCTGTTAATGCAGCCTAGCACTGTGTTGGCCTTTTTGGCAGCTGCAGCACACTGCTGGCTCATATTTAGGTGATTGTCTACTAGGACTCCGAGGTCCCTCTCACAGTTACTACTATTGAGCATGGTGCCACCTATGCTGTACTTGTGCATTTGGTTTTTCTTGCCTAAATGTAGAACCTTGCTTTTTTCACCATTGAATTTCATTTTGTTAGTTAGTGCCCAGTGTTCAAGTCTGTCCAGATCCTTCTGTATATTAAGCCTGTCTTCTGGAGTGTTGGCTATTCCTATTCCATCACACCATATTATGCGGAGCTCAACACTGGACCAAGAAGTCAACTCCCTCACTGAAAATGCTCTTCCTTTAATCTCTCTTCTACAGTTCAGTATAGTGGCTGCCCCTCCTGAACTGTCCTAGGGGTTCCGGACTACCATGGGTGTGCATGAGGACTAGTTCATCAGCCCAAGGGCCATGACCCTGAAACCTTTTTGTACATTTATAATGTACAAAATTATGACTTCCTGGCAAATGATATTACTATTAAAGACATACATATTAAATACATTTTTTAAAAAAATACCAAGACTGTTATTTCATAGCTGGCCCGTTTTTTAATTTGCTTTTCTTACTGGGTTGATACACACTGTATTTTTTTCAATGTCGTATTTTTCACTATGATATTATTATATCATCCTACATATTTTTCAATATGTTGAGTGATATAATCTGGGAATCTGTCTTCCCAAGAGCTGCACAAATCTTGCATCACTTTTTCTTCTCTCTTGTTGCTGAGCAGAGAGATCTGGCTTTACTCTGCTGTTTCCCTCATTAACTTTCCCTTCTCTTCTCTCTGAATTGGATAGAGGATAATACCTGTGTGCACGCTCCTCCCTGCTCCTTGCTAGGCAGAGAGACCCTCATACAGGGTGAACAGATTTGGTATTCCTCTTCAACTATACTGATTTCCCTCCCTCTGGCAGTTCAGCCACATGGCCCATCTTTCTGGACCAAGAGTTGCCTCCCTGTTGCCACTGCTCAGAAGCTTAGGCATCACCTCAGAAGTAACACTTGCCACAAAATCTATCAGTAGGTAATATCAGCCCAATCAGGTAGATGACGAAATCAATGTCCTACATATCAAGGCTACTTTTATTGTAACAGCCATAGTGATAGAGTCTTGCAAGTCTAGATGTGCGTCTTCTTCTGAGATGTTTTTCTCAAGTTATTGTTTTGGCCTGGGTTCAAGCCCCTCTTATCTGACTGTTGCCTTGGTAGCACTCTTCCTCCTGTCCTTTGAGATCATTGCTTCTGCCCTCCAGGTGAGAATTCCCAGAGGATAGAGCTGTTTTGTATAGGAAGCCTATGGGCATCACCTGTCTTCTAGAAAGCATTGTTGTAAGCTGCAGAAAATTCCTTGGAGGATTGCATGTGACCCACGGACCATGAATTTCAAGTTGTCACTCATTGCTTTCAAGAATTATGGGGTCAAGGCTGCCAGTCTTTGATTTAAAAAAAATATTTTCAGACTCAAGAGGATGTAGCTGGTGGATTAGCCAGGAAGCTGTCAGAATCTTTTAGATAGAAGTTATGTCCAGTCAGACTGTGATAAATCAATGGGCATAGTAGATTATGATGCATCTTGAGCAGAACCTGGCGGAAGGGCTGATAAATTTACTACCTTACTAAGACCATAATAGCGTTTAGTACTCAGAATTTAGTTTCACCAAACTGGCAGGAAAAAAAAAGATAGTTATGGATGCTGTATTAGGTCTGAAAAATTCTACGTCCAAAATCTTCATTTGGCCTGTGAGGCCACTGGATACTTTTGGATCAGGCACTAATTCTCAGCATACCCAAACCTCATAAGGATTGAGAAGCAGTTGGAAACATTACAGTGGATAAGCATCATAAATATGTCTATCAATCCCACGTAGGAGTTTGCAGAGGGATTTGATCATGCTAGCTGGATCTTCTGGGGGTCCAAGATCAGTAGGACGTGGGAGAACTATGGGACGCCCTCCTCTAAGTTAGAGTCTCCTTTGCCAAATGTATTTCAAATTGCCATGCCAAACAAGTCCCCAGATGTGTTACCTCTGCTTGTGTGTCTGATATCACAAGTATGAAATCTCCTTCTCCAAACTGAAGATGATTGTCATCTTCCGAAGTATGAGCTTGAGTTGCTTGACCCTGGAACATAAAATGTGAAAATAATAGTGCAGCACACAATGGGCATCTCAGCTCCTCAGCCAGCCATCCCATTTCCTAATTGAATAGTACAGAAAGGGCTGAAAATAATATTTAAAGTTTTTTAAAAAAAGAAAGTCAACAATGGTCTCAGCTGGCAAGGCTTGGAATTAACACCCTCTCCTTAATTCATACCTGGGTTTTTATGACTCATTAGCTAGGGAAGCCTAAAACCCAGCTCTTTGATTGCTGGGTCTTACCTTAAACAGGAAACCCAAGGGAAGCTTGTTCTCATTTTCTTCTTTAGCTTCTGGGAAAAAACTAGGAATGATCTGAAGCAAAAAGAACATGTGGTTATTTAAGAGACAGGGAAAAAAGATATTGCCTAGGTATAATATAGAGGCAAAGACAGTACAGCGCTCAGTTTGGCAAGATTCTGGGAGTTGAAGTCCACATGCCTTAAAATTGTCAAGGTTGAGAAACACTGGTATAAGGAGATCTGCAATCAGATCCCTGATCTTCCTAGCCCTGGAGAGTGATGAGGTAGGAGTCTTCTGCAATTAAATGAAAGGGGCTTTCAGCATCTTACAGACAAACAAGATTCTGATGAAGGTCTCCCCTACTTTTAATCCATGTAGCTTTCTATGCTGTATTGTCAGCCTCCCAAGTAAACTAGGCAGGAAACATGACAAGATGAGATAATTCTTCTTTATTGCGAAGTTACATTAACAGAATCTTGTAAGTCTTGAAGTACAAATCTCTCGCTGTCACTTACAACGTTCTGATCAATTAGGACAGATCCTTTCTAAGTTTCTTTCTTTGATGGCTAAGCCCCCATTCTTTTTTTCTGATCATTTTCAGCATCTCTTCCCCTCATGCCTCAGGGTCATTCTGACATAGCATTACAGGCATGGACCTATCCATTATGGATTACCATTATAAACCAGGCCAGTAAGTTCAACAGATCATAGTTAAAAGCCCCGTCGTTATGCAATCCCAGCTTTGTGCCTGAAGGAAATAGAAAGGAGAGATGACTATCACTGGGAGTGGGGGATTCCTTTCCTAGGAAACTTCCAAAAATTCCTTTTAAAAAAGTTCAAAGTGGCTTTTTACATTCAACTAGAGATGAGGTGAAAAAAGACTTAATTATTATAACAGGAGTTTCTCACTAAATAAACACTTTAATGCCTGTAATGAAACCAACAGAGCAGTCCAAATTCTTTAGAATCCTTTTGTTTCAGACTCTTATAATTCTGGCTGTTTAATTTCTTGTTAGAGCGAGACACTGCAGTGTGTATATTAATTGCGTTGACAATTTAGTCAGCAGCAGCATGCAAAAATAGGCCTACTCCCTCACAGAGTGAGAATGACATGAATTAACTAACTCAGCTCACTCTGTTTCAGCCATTGATACATCTCCCATCAGCTGCACTTCCTATGTTGGAAGCCAATGTTTGCAATGGGAAACCTACTTGCGTATAGCAAGTCCCCTACTGCACATACTTGCTCTCCAGTATGTGGAAGATGTTGAGATTGTCAGGATTCCATGACTGCACTGCTTGAATTCACACTATTGAAAGGGATATTGCGGTAGAAAACACCGCAGTTGGCATCTTCAAAAAGACATTTGCTTTGCATATTTCCATTTCTAATCGTTTTTTGGAGATTGCTTGTTAACTGCTTTTTAACTATTAGGAATCTATATATACATATACATACATACAGAAAATGTGTGATTAGAACTTTGATTTTGGAAAGTTACAGACTAAGGAACCAGGTGCATTTGAAATAAGAATTTGGGATTATTTAGAATCATTGGCATTGGAAAATGCTTTTGTTCTGAATCCTCTTTTTAAAAAACAGGATGAGACTTGCAAGGGTGGACACTAGAAGGAATCAGAAGGGACAAAAGATTTCAATTAAAGGAGAAGAACTCTTATATTTGGCTTACTAATACAGCATAGAACAAAATATTTAAACACTGGTCATATTGGAGGATATTTTTAAACAATGGACCCAGAAGTTAATTTTAAGAGTGTCTGGTTCTATAGAAAGACTATATTTAAAAGATGTTATTAAGAGGCACAGTTTTACCAGATAAAATTGATCTGAAACTGGATTTTAAAATGACAGGATACAATAATGATATGAATAAAAATGCTACACTAGGCATACAAAAGATATTGACTATCTTAATAATTAAAAGAGATGTACAAAAGGAAGAAAAAGAAAAGAGAAGAAAACATTATGAAGAAATGCCTTTCAATATTCTTAACAGCAATTATAAATCCATAAAAAAAATCTTTTTTGTAACACTGTGTATATTTGAACCCTAAATTTCCTGCGTTTTATGAGTCCACCAGGCATGATAAAATGACTCCATATTGCCCACATTTCCAGCATACTCTTTTGTCATGTTCTGACTACAGAAACGTCATTAAGGAAAGAAAGAAAAACTGCACACTGTTTTTCCTGATGGCCAGAAGCCATCTATCTCTTTGTTGTTCTCCATCTCTTTCTGTCCATTCATTTGTGCCTTGGGCCTGACATAGCTCTGAGGTTCAGCAGCCAAGGGGTCAAATACCAGTCCCATGTGGAAGAATGGAAGGCTATTGAGGTACCCCAAGGTCTTTGAAGATATCAAAAGGACAATATGAACGTGAAAGATTGACATGATTGTTTGAAGCAGCAGATTTGGTACTGTAAAGCTCTGCTGTTTTAGGAAACTAGCTTGTTTTTCTCACTGAATGTGATGATCCCTTTTTAAAAATGTCGGTTATGCCTTCCAAAAGCACCAAGCCCTGGGCTTTTGAAAACATATGCTGCTAAACATGAAGGCAAATTTGGCAGGCAAAAATGGCCTTGAGAATTGAGTGTAATCAGATGAGTAGAAAAAGCAGATCACTGTAAGAAGCTAAGCTATCTCTTGCAGAGCCTACTAACAAACTCCAGGAAAAATAATAGTTGAATTAGATGAGCCTTTGGGTGTGTGTGTGTATGTGTGTGTGTGTGTGTGTGTGTGAGAGAGAAAGAGAGAGAGAGAGAGAGAGAGAGGGAGGGAGGGAGGGAGGGAGGGAGGGGGAGAGAGAGAGAGAGAGAGAGAGAGAGTTTGTGTGGGTTGCACACTTGTGTTCTTATTTTATCTATTATTACACTTGTATCCCATGGAATGGGCAAACTCGGGAGACAGTGGAGGACAGAGAAGTGCTATGGTCCGGGGGGGGGGGGTTGTCACGAAAAGTCAGACACAATTTAGCGGCTGAACAACAACAAGCCCATGGGATGTATTTCTGCAGTGAGATTCTCCTGGCAAACGATGAGCTGTCTTCATGAGTGCTGGCAAGAATGTGTTGGCAATGCTATGTTTGGCTTGAAAAATTGAATGTGTTTGGGTTTTAAAATGAATCCTGTAGCAGAGGAAGCCCCAGAAAATAGTGCAGTGCCAAGGAGTGGGAATGAACCTAGGAGTGATGTCTCCAGAGATGGAGACATCCAGTACTGTAATGAGTAGACAAGTACAGGAAGAAATAGATCAAGTTATACTGTATGACATAAGGTATTTACTGCCTCCATGCCAATACATGGGATATAAGGAACAAACAATAAGAAATCCTAAGGTGGAAGGACAAAGATGATTTTGTAAGCATTCCTGAAATGTAGGAGTAAAATGCAGGGACTAAATGATGAACTTAATTGAAGGATTAAGACACACTGTAGAACAGCATTGTATGTGAAGAAAGTACACATAGAGATCCAGGAATTTAACCAAGGGTCCAGTTAAGAGCATTTGAGTAAGAATACCAGGAAGAAAACAATAACCAAGCAGACAGAAGATTTTCATAATCTTCCCTCCTGGATTGATGAAAGAACTTCCAGGAAGGAGAGATGTACAAAGAATGGAAAATTTCAACTTTGAATATAATATGATGTTTGAACAATGGGAGAATATGTGGATAAAAGGCTTAACATTCACATTAAATTATAACCTCAAAGAAAATTTCTACAAAATGATATGTTGTTGTTATTTAATGCCAGATAAGTTATCTAGAATGTATAAAGGTATTTCAAATGAATGCCGGAAATGTAAATCTAAAGAAGGGACTTTTTAACATTTATGCTGGACATGTGATAAGGCAAAGAAATATTGAAGTAGGATTCATATATTAATGGAGAAAATTCTTAAAGTGAACATAAAGATTAAACCAGAAACTTTCCTTATGGACCTAATGGAAAGAACTGGAAAAAATTTTTGGAACTCTGATTTTATATATGGCAATGGCAGCAAGACTGCTCTATGAACAAAAGTGGAAGGATGCCTCGATTCCTACCATGGATGAATGGTTACAAAAACTGATGGAATTAGCAGAGATGGCCAAATTGACTGTGCTGATAAAAGAAAAGAACATAAGTACTTTTGTTTCTACTTGGAAACCGCTTGTGGACTTCGTGCTTGAAGTGGGAAAAATGATATTATGATTTTGTGTTTTACCGATTAGACCAGTGGTTCTCAACCTTTTTAATGCCGCGACCCCCAGCCGGTTGTAAGTCGAGGACTACTCAACCGGTCATAAGTCGAGGACTACTCAACTGGTGCAGCACCGTTTGCAGAATGGGACTTTTGGCGGGCTCAGCAGGGCAGAGACAGCCTGGACAATTCCTATTGGCTTTTGAAAGCCAATAGAATTAGACTCTATTCAAGAGAGTCTATTCTATTGGCTTTCAAAAGCCAATAGAATAAAAGGGAGTAGCACAGCTAAGGAAAAGGGGAAAAAAATGGCAGACTGCATTGTTTGGTGACCCCCGTGAAATGGTCGTTTGGTGACCCCCGTGAAATGGTCGTTTGACCCCAAATGGGGTCCCGACCCACAGGTTGAGAACCACTGGATTAGACCAATGTGCCGATACAGAAGTGGCTAGTGCATTCTACTATAGAAATGTTAAAAGTTGAGATTTGATTTTAATGTCTGATTTTACTGCAAAAGAGAGAGTTGGAAGTCAATGTCTTTTGTTTTTTTCTCTCCCCCTTTCTTCACACTTTTTTGTTTTCTCTTTTTCTACTGTTGTCCCCTACTATTTGCTTTTGTATTTTCATATTTTATGTTATAAATGAATAAAACTAAATAAAAGAAAAAAAGAAAAAATAATCTAAATAAAAGAAGAAGAAGAAAGAAAATTTCAGTTCGTTGGACTTCTGCTGGAAAGCCAACTCAGCCCAAACTTCAAGGTCCTTCAGAGGACATGTTGACTATCTCATTTCCTAGACAGCTGGAGAAGACCCCAGGGAATTGAATCCCCTAGATCTTTCCTAACCAACAGGAAAAGAACTGATTGAAAATCAAATAAAGCATTTGCAGCCTTGGGAGGAAATGACCATGTCGTCTTGCATTTAAAGGGTCTACATAAAATGAAATTGGAGTGTAGTCGTACATACAAACTAAATTTCAGAGGAGACCATTTCAAACCAGTTTAGAGAGGTACTAGGTGAGGTCTCACATATAAAAATCCTCAGGTCAAAGGGAGAGTGGGAAAGTTGGGAACTTTTCAAAAATATGTTGCTGGAAATACGGTTATTTAAGGAGAAAAAAATGGAGGTAGCTTAGGAAACCATTATGGAAGTTTAGGAAACTTTTGTTCAAGCTAAGAGAGCATGTAGAGGAAATGGTTGGGTTTAATGATCAAGGAAGCTGTACCAACAAATAGTTAATGTCATCAGACACGCAAGGAACATTTTTGAGCTATGTACTACTAAGAGGAAGAAAAGGGGATGGGCCTACTGCTTAGAGAAGATAGGGTGTTAACTGGTGAGCAAAAGAACGGTGAGAAAGTGTTTTGTATGCCAGTTTTATGATATATATACAGCAAAAATAATTGTGTCACAGTTTTCCTGCTCTGACAAGGGGCCTTCTTCTTTTTATAGCTAAACAAAGAGCTGGACAGCCAGTGGCATTTAATTTTTCCTCTTGGTTTTTTTTGGTCAGCAAACATGTCCATCCCCTGCAAACTAGCGTGTCTAATATGCAAAATATCATATTGTTATTCATTTGAATTTCTACTGAGCAGAAACATCCTTGCATTGTTGCAACACGTATTTTAGGTACCCTACTGAAATATTTTAGCTACAGCAGTTGCTTTTTATGGCTAATTAGCAATTGGAAAAGGGGTCGGTGAGATTTCTCCTCGTCTCTTACCTGAGCATAGGTACCCTTGGGGGAAATCTCAATTTCTTCCATGCTTCCTTCACTGCTACTGTTATCATCTTCTACATCTCTGCAGCTGTGGCTACTCTCATCTGTCTCCGTATTTGGTGGAGCAGCTTCATCAGTTGCAGATGGGACCTCTTCTGAGTCTCCTTCATCTTTGGTTGAAGAGGGAAGACCTCGGGGATCATCATCTTCAGGGCAAGAGCTCTCCTCAGGCGGCCCTTTGCGGTCCTCACCATTAGCTTTCTCAATCTGCATCTCATCCTGGATCTCTTTGGCATGCTCAAGGTCGTGTTTCAGTAGAGCTGGGATTTCATCCTTTGCCTGGGGCAGAGAACCACCCTCTTTTCCAGGTATATCATTGGCTTCAGTGTTTCCTTCCAAGAAGGGCTGTTCAGGATCTTCTGAATCTTTAGAAATGCTTTGCCTTTTGCCAGTAGCTTCAACCATTGCCTGTGATAAAATCTCCACCGCAAGGTTCTTTGCCACTACCTCAAGGGTCCTGCCGGAATCAACCTCAAGCTCTTCCGATTGATTCTCTTGGCTTTTGCCTTCTGTTCCACTAACAGACTGAGAGTCTGACTCGACACTTTGGCCAGCCTCATTTTGCAATTCTTTGACCTCTTCTTTTGTGGATGCCACCTTGGTGGCTGAAATAGTTTCTGTTTCTTGATCTGGGGACATGGCAATGAGAGATGTGGAGACCTCATTTATGCTATTCCCTGCTGGCAGAAAAGAGTTGCTGGTTGGGCTTACTGGGGATGAAATAACCAAAGAACCTCTGTTGCTACATTGAGAGGAGGAGAGAAAAAAAAGCTACTTAGAATATTTGAATATGCAACCTCCAAAATCTGGCATTTAATTAGTTCAGCATGCCCTACTCTGGCATTCTTCCTATGTACTGAGATTACAAGTCCAACAATCCTCAGCTGGAATTCACTTTGCACTTCTGGTTATGAATTTGGGGATTTGCAAAGCCTCAACCCGTTTGAGAATCAAAGCCTTATTTAGATGTTTACACCCAAATGGCAGCCATATGTGTTTCAAATGCCAAATAAAAGAAGTGTTAAAGCATTAACATACTTTAAAACAGTAGAAAACAACACAGCCAATTCTGAATGACTGTATGACTTAATTAATTTTTGTGGTTCAGCCGGAAACAGCTGGGAGAACATGTGGTTTGAAGGCTATTCCTCATTAAAGCTCACCTCACAATGCCCTTCAGATTGTACTAGACTACCACTCGCATCATCCAAAGTCAGTCTGGAAATTAAAGATTACTTTTTGGGACAAACTCAGGGAAGTAGCTTCTTGGAATGACTGAAGATGCTGTATTCTTCACAGTACTGAAACTCATTCAGGTGGAATTCTAACCATCATAAATTCTGTAACTTTCCCCTCTCTAGGTTGTATTACCCATTAGGTGTTAAACAATTGTTACACATTGTCTATTTCTTTCTGTACACTTGCTTTACACAGAAATTATAAGTATTTTCTTATACTTATAATTGCAATGAAAATGGATCCTTACTGTGAGCAAAAACGGATATGGGGTTCCAGATATTGCAACTGGACACCTGTCACTATAAATGAGCTTCACCTGAAACACACATGCCAAAATTGCTGGAAGGAACAACCTCTCTCTTCATTCTCATACAAATTGTATGAGAATGCAGTCGAATGTGAGGAAAACAGCATGAATTTTGCAAGGGGCCAGCTGTCTGGTCCCAATGCCCCTTGAATTGCATGACTCCTTCTTCACCTGTAGAATGCATGCAGAAACTGAGATGGTTCCCTGAGTGATACAGCAAGACCGTTTTTAAATTTGCCAATGGGTAAAATTTAGTACTAGCTGCCATTAAAACACTCCTTTGAAGATAATTATATGGAAGAAGTGTTGTTATATTCAAGAAGAGCCTGTGGAATTATTAATGTACTTTTAGTTTCAAGCTATCTGAAATCACCTCGTTATTTCAGTGGCCACTGAACTTCAGAATAGGCTTTACCTTTATCAGTAACGGTTCAGAAGTAATAGAATTAGTTACCTATAGATCTTGAGACTGTTGGAATTATTGCAAAAGCTTCCTTCCTTCCTTCCTTCCTTCCTTCCTTCCTTCCTTCCTTCCTTCCTTCCTTCCTTCCTTCCTTCCTTCCTTCCCTCTCTCTCTCTCTCTCTCTCTCTCTCTCTCTCTCTCTCTCTCTCCCTCCCTCCCTCCATGCTTACTAAAGCTGAGATGGCCATCCAAAAGGCTTCTGTGTTTGTTTGCTTTATCTCTGGCTACTCTAGGGTTGCTACTTACATTTTAAAAAATCACATCTTGATTTTATGAATATTTTTTTCTAAATAATTTTAAGAATCTCTTTTAGTGAAGATGTATTCAAAATCTTTTAATCCATAACAAAAGCAAACAAGCTAGATCACTTGACAGCTACTTGGAAAGAGAAGGAGATTTCTCTCTCTCTCAGCTTTCCTGGGATGTTACTCAGACTCCTAACAGATCTGTAGCAGAAAGGAAATCACTTACCTGGAGACCCCTTTAATGATGAAGACTTTATTGGAATGTTGGTTCTCCAGCTTGCTCATTACATCATACAAGTCATGGTTTAGCTAGAAGCAGGAAGAATTAGGGGGAAAAACATTCATACACAACAACCACAAGGACATATCATCATAATCATCACCTTCAACTTTATTATCACTATCTATTATGATTAAAGTTATCACTCTTTCAACTTATTAACTCTGTTACCTGAATTTATTCTTGATGAGGATTTCAAGGTGTCATTGGCTGAGTAATGACTCTTCCTTCTCCCAGTGAAAATGGAACATGTGGCTCAACAATTGAAATCTCAATTGCTCAATATTACATTAAAAAAAATCACATCCTTCCACTTTTACAGGGTTTAGCAGGACATAGCTAACCTCAGATGTTTCCACCCAAAAGAAAAATACAATAATGTGAAGAAAAGGCTTGGGCAATATTGCTATAGAAGAGTCCATGTTTTTTTTTTCTGAAACCCATGCACAGTATTTACAGGGTGCTGGTGGTGATCCCTAGGATGTTATCACCCAGCTGTAACCCTGCTGTGCTTTCACACTGTTGTCTGAATCTGTTTGAAATGTGGAAGAGTTGCCTAGTTTCTTCTGATTGGTAGATCTAGCATTTCTGCTTTGAGAATCCTCCTGGGTCAGAGTGTAATGGTATGTGAGAAAGACCTTGGCAGACAGGGCAAAGAGATGCTGCCTAGGCCACCTATGCCAAAATTGAACAGCCCTCTCTCAACAGAGGAGGGGGAGCGGGATATAACATCATCTATCTCCAGTCTACAACACAGTCCTTTCAACTCAGGAAGGCTTCACAGCCATTTGCACTACTCAGGTGACCCTGAGGACATCCTATGACTGGGTGTTCAGCGACTCATTTGGCTTTCCATTGAGAATCGATGTTAAAGTTGTTGGGCAGGTATTGTGCAATTGCCAGTGGGGCTTCCTGGATTTGAATCTTCCTGCTAATAAATGAGGAAGGTTTCATTTATCAGGTCTCATTTATCAGATCTCGCATCTCATGTTTTTGGCACAGGATAAATGATGCCTTAGTGGTGAAATTTAAAAAAAAACAACCCACAAGTCAAGGTAATCAAACTTCTCACCAATTGATAAGGATACTATTTGGTCTACAGCTGGCTCTTTCCTGGTTTCTGGCCACTTAAATAGCAACAGTTGCTTTCACATTTGCTGGGTTTCCACACGCATAATCTAACCTGGCATTTCTCAACCTTGGCAGCCTGAAGGACGTGTGGATTTCAACTCCCAGAATTCTCCAGCCAGCTGCAGAATTATGAGCGAGCCAGGGTGGGAAAAAGACACCAGGAGTCTTTTCTTAATAAGCGGTATGTTTTCCACCACTGCATATTTACCTTACTCATTTCCTTGTAGAAAATATCTCTCAGATTGGAAATATTCTGGAATATTGTCACATAGCATGCAATTCGACTAGGAAAGAATGAAGACAAAACAGGCAAATCAATGTTAAGTTAGCTGAGCAACTCAACGAGGGGAAAAAAAAAAACATTTGTGAGCCAAATAACCTATTACAGCAAGAAAATGGGAAAATTGTCTCAAGACTGGACCCTCCCTAATTCTCTTTAGGATAAAGGCAGGGAGGGGGAAAGTCATTTTCAGACTTGCAAGATTCTAGTACTGTAACCTTATAATAAAAGTAGTTTTAGTATTCATAACTTTGGTTTTTCAAGTCTGGTCTACTTGAAGAGTTAGCATATTGTGTCAGTAAGGCAATGAAGCAATATGGGCAGAATAGCATCACTCCTATGAATTTTTGCATTCTTTCTTGATGTGGAAAAAGTTCTTTTATTCTTCATCTGTTAAGCCTGTTCTAGGGATGGCATAATAGCTTCTATGGCTATGTTCACACAACACGCTTCACTGGGTCAAGAAAAAACCTACTAGCTGCATTTGTTCTCTGTACAGAACTAAGCTAAAGTTCTGTGTGGTCCCAATCCATTAGTTAGTTTTCATTCATTCATCTGTTCATTCATTCATTCATTCATTCATTCATTCATTCATTCATTCATTCATTCTCTAAGGCTGTTCCACAAAGATTCTGGATGGCAAACTCAAATATATAATGTATTGAACAGAATAGGTTAATTCAAGAATGTAGATGGGGCACTTTGTGAATGTCCCCTAAAAATGTCTGGAAGCTATAACATTTTACAACAATTTGGTGAGGTTAAATTAGGCTTGCCCATCCAACTTTGAGTCTGAGTGAAAATTTGAACTTGTATCACCTGAACCAAGGCCGCCTACTTTCTTTCAGATTGTGAGACTTTAACCTGATGAATTCCCCAGTATTGATTGCAGGTGCAGCAACAGAATGCCTAGTAAGGTGACATTCAGGCATTTCAGGAACTGGGTGTTATAGAAAAGAGGAATAAATGGGAGAATTTGGATTTCTCGTGTTGTCTTTTTTTTCTTCTTCTACAACAGTGTTTCTCAACCTTGACAATTTTAAGGCATGTGGACTTCAACTCCCAGAATTCCACAGCCAGCAATGCTGGCTATGGAATTCTGGGAGTTGAAGTCCACATGCCTTAAAATTGTCAAGGTTGAGAAACACTGTTCTACAAGCCACTAGTAGTTTCCTTCTAAATCACTCTTTACAGAGAACTAATACTTACTTTACCTCGATTATGCTGCCATCCTATGGCCACCAGGCCTCAGTACGTTCCCGGCAACAAATGCATAGTTTACAGTATATGTGCTTTCATAGTAGAGTCCTGAAAAATTTGACTTATTCTCTGCCTTTATTCTGCCACTTGCACTATTCTGTTTGAGCAATCTTCTGGACTGTAATAGTGTTGAATAGCTATAGTTTGGGTGTGGGATGAGGGTGAAGGTTTGTCCTCCAACCTTGTGGGTTGGTTCCTAATGTTTCATTACCAGGCTAGGTAAAATCTTCAGCAGAGTTTAGGGCAGGGGTAGGCATAGCTGACTCAGGAATTCTGGGAGTTGAAGTCCATGAGTCATAAAAGAGCCAAGGTTGCCTATCCCTGGTTTGGGGGATGTCAGTGTTCTTCTGTTTATAAGAGTTTCAGTTGTGGGTGTGTCAAGTGAGGGTCTGTGATGGGTCAGGTGATGGGTCAGGTGTGCATCATCAGTGAGTCTTGTGATGGGTCTTGTGATGGGGAAGTTACATCAGAAACTGGACCTTCAGCATGCATTACCTGTTGTAAAGGACTGGCAATTCTTCTCGTAGCTCTTTATTGAGTTCCTCAAAGACAGTCTGGGTTTTATAAAACTCCTCTTCAGCCTATGGAATCCAAACATTAATTAGAGGAACAGAAACTGCAGACTGGCGAGGCAGTCAAGGATAAAAAGTCCCAGATTCTGGTTACACAGTCTTCAGCATAGATGCCTAACATTTTTTTTTTTTTCAGACTGCAGGGTGTTCTCCAAGAAATAGGCTGAGTCAGGCAAAGTAAGTGGATGGTCCAGGTTAAAACAAAACAAAACAAAAAACCACCACTAAGTTTAATTTTACAATTTTATTAAGTGGTGATTAAAATTCAATTTAACCAGTTAAATAGAATGATAGTTGTATGATCACTCTACTTTTTAAGTTTTCTCTTCTGTGAAAGGGGGGGGGGAATTAGCAATCACAGTAACTTTCGTAGGGACCTTTCGAGACCCACCCATTTCTAAGATGTGGATTGGCTATAGCTTCATGTTGTCCCTTTGTGCTATGCTCTTCACACAAAAAGTTAACTTTGTGTAAACCTATCTATGATTGTTGCCATTCTGCAAGGTCGTATGCAGCACAGAAAAGCAGAGCTCCCAGGCTGCCTTTCTCCCATTTTGCTATTTTTTTCATACTATCTTTCCTTAAGCTGATGCCTTCCAGATGTACTGGAACTGTAACTCACTTCCCACACATGAGCTGGGAGTTCTGGACACAGCTGTGGCAACACATATGGAAGAGATCAGCTGGAGAAAGATTGATCTCTACTCAACTTTCCTTCAGCACTTAGTTCTTCCTGGTTTCCCTTTACCAACATATAAGGAAAGATAATCACTCTTAGAGCAAGTTTCTCAATCTCAGTGACTTGAAGATGCACAGACCAACTCACAGAATTCTCCAGCTTGCTTGAAGTCCATGCATCTTAAAGTTGCTGAGGTTGAGAAGAAATGTTCTAGAGAAGAAGAGGCAGCAGCTCTTTATTCCCCATTGCTTGCCACTAGAAACAGCCTTCTGGGTTTTCTCAAGCTAGTTACGTGGTACTTTTTTTCCCTTCTCCATAGGCTATACAGGAAAACCGGATCAGCTTTTTCTTTCTGTTGTTTCCTTCTGCTTATCATATTGCTCCTTTAGCAATTAATTGCCCCTGCTTTTCCTCTTTGAAAATTGAAGGGATAATCCCTCACCAATGAAACAATAAGGCATGCAGAATTTGTTTTTAAAATGTAGAGGAAAGCAGCTGACTGTTTCCTTTTTTCTGTACATTTATTTACTATTCCTCTGGTGTCATCTATTTATGTCTCTTTTGGAACTGGCAAAGGTTTTTTTATATATATATATAAACGTTTGTAGTATAGAAATGCATATCTGCCACCTCCACAGCTGAAATCCCCAAATTGACCAGGACATCTTTTTGAAGAAGGTTCAGGTGTGAAATAATTGTTTTAGTCCATTTGTCCCCTTACCCCTCCATGAACTTCCTCCAGTGCAAAAGAAAAAAAAAACAACTCTCTAAAATGTTTGGCTCAACCACTGGAGGAATTGGTGTGTGTGTGAGTACCACACTTTTTGCCTTAGAACCAAGAAGTCCTCCACCAAACAGATTCCTCCAACTTATTGATCCTAAGGATGGCAGCCAAAGATGGAAGCTGAAATGTCTGAATATAAACCCTTTGATCTGTATCTAATTGGATTCCTCAGAAGGTATTTTTACCTTAGCAATTTTAACTTCATCTTTCTTTTTGGCATTCTGAAGGGTTTCCAAGTGATGCCTGCTGATGTCATAATCCACCAATTTACGCCCCCTCTTAGCAATTCGCTCCTATAAAGGAAGAGGACACATCAAAGGTCATCTAGAGACAATAGTCTTCTTTGTGTACTATTTTAAAAGAATATCTGAATAGCCTTTCTGAATCTAGTCTGCAAAGTAATCAATCTTCAAGGCACCATTCGGTGTGTAGAAGAAGAGCAAGGTATTGGTAAGGATTTCTTTGCACAAGGTCTTGTAAGATTATCTAGAGAATCCCTGCAGAAAGTTTATTCAGTGACAGGGATAAAATTTGGCTGTGTCTTCAGTATTACAAATCCCATTAAAAACCAAAACTCTAAGCTATCTCTTTTTTATGCCTGCTCAGTTTGAGCTTCTACGTTCCCTGATAGATTTCTCCTTGCAACTCATGTCATCATTGGATTCCAGAATTATAATTATAATTCAGAATTTGTGATGCTGGTGTCCTGACATAGCAAAAATGTAGGCATTTCACCTATTTTTATAGTTAGTATTTTATTTCAGTCGCTGACCAGTGAAACAAAATGAGAGTTAACTCACTGAATATCAATATAACCTATGCAGCACAGAAAGGCTAGAGTAAGACAAGCTATAAAATCATATACAAGGAAAAATAAAAAAAAATGTTGACATAAAAATTAATATGGTAAGATATTGTACAATTTATATAAGGCAATTAAATGATTGTTTAGAATGTGCTTTTATAAATATTGATGTCAATGGTGGCCAAGGTTTTGAGCATAAATTAGAGGTATCAGGATTAGGATTGCTCTTCTCCCATTGATACCAAAGACCACCTTCCCTTTATGCTCAATGGAACAGCTTGCCTCCAGAAATTGTGGGGACTCCATTACTGGAGATTTTTAAGAAGAGGCTAGACATTCACTTGTCTGAGATGGTATAGGTCCTCCTGCTTGAGTTGGGGGCTGGACTAGAAGACCTCCAAGATCCCTTCCAGCTCTATTCCATTCCATTCCATTCCATTCCATTCCATTCCATTCCATTCCATTCCATTCCATTCCATTCCATTCCATTCCATTCCATTCCATTCCATTCTATTCTATTCTATTCTATTCTATTCTATTCTATTCTACTCTACTCTATTCTATTCTATTCTTTCTGTTCCCAAAAAGAACAGAAAAGAGTACCCAGTCTGGTACTTTCCTGATGTATTCCTCCAGTTCTTGACCTGCTGATTTCTAAGCTCTTTAGAAATAAGGACTGCAACAGAAATAAAGAAATAAAGAGGCTGAAAATACTTAACAGGATATATAAGACATAAACTGTCAGGATGGGGAGAAACTTTGCCATATCTTTTTAAAAGTATTTCTAATAAAAGAAAAAGAAGTGTGTGGATGTGCATGTACATGTGGGGGGGGGGAGAAGAACAGTGTCTGAATACACATACATGCATTAAAAAAAAGAAAACCAAAGGCAAGATTCAAGAATGAGCTGGTTCCTCTTGTGAGATTGGTGACATTTCCCCCCAAAAGAAGTTAGATGAAGATAACACCCAAATGAATTATTTGCAAAAAAAGATTGAACTCTATATGTAAACTATAAATATTTCAACAGGAAAAACTGAACTTCTTGGCATTGTATTTTGTTCTAGACAGTGCATACCGTATCGCACACACAAATCCAGAAGTACAATACATACTTTAATTTCATTGAACTGACTCAAGTAGTTGTCCATGGTCCTGATTGCTTGGTCTGCCAGTTTTTCCTCATAATCTTCCCATAGAAGATCATTGCTCTGTAAGAAAAGGGACACACTTTTCAAAATGCAGTTGAAATAACCTCTGTGCAGTTATTCTTTTCTCCCAGGAAGACCTAGAAGTTTACAGGGTCACTCTAAAAATAAAAGTATAAATCTTTTATACAGAGACTGAGAATAAACAAGAGGAATCGGTTTAGTTTCTACCCTTAGACCCTTTTATTCCATTGGGTTTTTTATTGAGCAGCAGAACAAACAGTATTCAAAAGAAAGAGAAAAGAAAGGTTAGTGTCATTTAAAACTGAAATGTGGGATATACCCTACATATTTTCAAGGATACTCTAGAATACTGGAAAATTAAGAATGGAGGTCCAAGTTCTGAGAGCTGGTTTCTAGTAATAGCTATAGCTAGGAATTAGCTATAAGTCTAATGTTTCAGTTTAAAAAGTCACAGCCTTGATATCTGGAACATATCATGATTACCTGAACTATGGCCTTCAATTCTTCATATCCATTCCATTCATCATTGTAAATTTCTTGTAATGTTTCAGACACTTTCTTGGAACTTTCATGCATTCCTAGAAAAGTCAAAATAACTGATAGCACAAGTCACAAGTCAGCATGTTCTCCAGATAAATGGCTGTATTTGCATATGACACTAAGCCATATTTTAACCAAAGTTGCCAAATAACCACTTCTGAATAGGTTCACGCACTATGCTAAACCACCAAGAACAGTTTACAAACTAAACTGTTTGTATTCATACAACACATTAATTTTTTTTTAAAAAAGCTTTCTTATGGTATAACATGATATCTGAAGTGGGAATATGAGTAGAAATCTTCAGTTGTTAAAGAGCCTGATTTAAAATTAAGTTGCTGGAACCTCAACTCTTTGGTGAAGTTTGTGATTACATGATGAATTTAATTTCCCTATTAGAGGTGATTAAAAATGTGAAAGATAAGAAGCATGGAATAAGAGATATAGTTTTCTTTCTCTTTTTTTCTTTCTTATTCTGAGTAGTATTGTATTTTTTTTATGATATGAGAAATGTAATTGTTGGGAGGATCATTGTGAGGGAAACAGCTTAAATATTTAACCATAAATCAACTTTGAAAAAATCTTAACATATAAAATGATTTCAATTTTGTGGGGAAAAAGTCTAAATGAGAATGTTGAAAATAGGACATATAACGCAACCAAGAGGACTAACTAGAAAAGAGGTCCTATATTGATGCTATTACTAATTGGATAAATGTTAGAAAAATGTTTATATTTAACCTCTTTGTTACTGAAATACTAAGAACTGTATTAACCTAATGTTCGCAAAAGAGAACAATATGGGAAGAAGAGAAAATCACGAAGAGCTGTTATGTATAGTATGATATGATAGAAATTAACTATTATTGATGGTTGTGAAATGTGAACCCAGACAATATGCTGTTTACTAAGCACTAGGTTGTTAGTTTTAAAAAAAATCAATAAAATATATATTAAAAAAATAATAAAAATGTGAAAACTGCATTCTGGGGCAACAAGTACAGCTTCCTAACTTCCTAAACTTCCCATCCTGTATCTGTGAAGAGAACAAATTGGCAGATAAATGTACATAAATTGGAATTAAAGGGGTTCTCTCATCCTCATTAGTGGCAGACCTTATGGAACCATATTAGATTCCTTTTCAGTAATGAAACTTCCTGGGTCATTTCTTCACAGCAGTTTTGTGTAAGAATTAAGGGTCAAAGAGACATATACGCTGCCAAGAAGCTCCGTGATGGAAGGATGGGATTTTTAATGGCCTTAACAAGGGCTTGGAGATAAAAGGCAAGCTTCTATCTGTTTTCTTTAAACAGCGTCTCCTCAGATAACAGAGGAGGCTTCAGCTAAGATCCCATACCTGCTGGCTTAACTTAGAAAATGTGCCATTCTAGAATTTGGGTTTTCTGTACCTTTCACAGCAATGAGGAAAGCCTTCAGTTCTTTGTAGAGTTTTTGCCCTTCAATCTGGGGGGAAAAGAAAGGGAAATTGTACTTCTAGTATATTTCTGCATGTCATCCCTATTAGAATATTGTTCCTGGACCTTGGCCATTCCCAAATCCATAAATTTCAACTCCCAGAATTACCCATTCGGCATGGCCAATGTTGAAAATTCAGGGAATTGAAGGCTATATATCTGGAGGCTGTCAAATTTGGGAAAGGCTGCATTAGAGGTTTTTATAGGACTCCCCCACCCCACCCCCAGTCTTCTTACAATCCAGGAACCTGCAGAGAAGAAGATTATGCCAAATATGTTTTACCGTATTACCATAAACCTAGCATCCCCATATTTATAGACATAGCATCATCAGGATCTTTCATAGCAGCCTAGTCAGGTTGAGCTTCTATTTAAAAAAAAAAAAACAGTTTGAGAGTCTTAAACAAAACCTGGTAAAGAGGTATTTCATATTCTGGCATACCAGAAATGCTAGGTAAATCTGACCTAGGCTTGTACAGTACATGTCACCTTTCCACCAACCCCAAATTTCCAGAAAACAAGTTGCTCCCACAATTCCATCATACAACCTGCTGCTGCTGGAAATTATAGGCACTTTGTTCAAATTGTTCATCTTTTGTTTCCACGGTTTTCCCCAGTTTCTGTAGAACCTATGGAAGAGACAGGGAGAGAAAAGAGAACTGCAACAGTTGCTGTACATTCTTGTCCTTCACTTATTCAGGGAGTAGAATAAAGCCTTATTTTAGAGGTGTGCATCTATGGAGTGAGTGTGGACTTGTTTCTGTGAGTGGCACTGCACTGAAAGAAATGGGTTTATCATGTTCTGCTTCTAGCAAAAAGCCCCCAATCATTAGTCTTTCCATGGGTGGAGTAGTGCCTGATATCCCATAAGTTCCTTGTTACCTTCTGGGAGAAGGCTCTGTGGTATCCGAAGCAGAACATCCAGATTCAGTCACAGTTTAGTTCCATATAGCATCAACCTTGTGAACTCTAAAGCTTCCTCTTTCCACTATGTATTCAAGATGGACAGTGATTAACATTTATATGTATTTATATAAAAATTCAGGGAGAGAAACATACATGGACTCTCCAGTAACTTGCAACCCAATAGGAACCCTATATGGAACAGTTTCTTTCTTAACAGTTAAATTTGAGCTGAAAATCTCCAGATGACCAGGAGAGGGCAGCAGAGAGATATAGAAGCTACCATCTCTGTCACCATCTAGAAATCATTTGTAGCCCAAATCTGGTAGCTCTACTCTTTTGCATGTTTTTATTTTCCATGCAAAACGAAGCTCTCCATTACAGATGTGCAATGCAGCTTGCTAACCACACAGTGCCCATCTGTCAGTTCCCATGAATAGCCTACATGACTTCAGCACTCTTCCTTTTTTAGACATTTGTACCACATGGAGGATAAGATAAGAGGCACGGCATGAGTAGGCACAGACCTGCCTTCTCTTGGTTTGTCTATGTAACCTACTGTGTTCAGATTACTAACCAAAATAAAGATTAGCACCACATTTTTTTTTAAAAAAAAAGTAAAATGAATTGTTCCTTGATGTTAAATATACGGATAGACCTATAAAATCCAAAGAGTGTAATCTCAGGTATATTTCACTGGGATATTATCATCTAGCAATAATAAAAATCCCAGGTTTTTTTTTTTTAATGCACTGAAAGCGCAACTCTTGTTTACATAAAAGGGGAGTGTTAGCAGAGAACCACTGGATGACAGTACAAAGAATTTTTGTACCTTTTCATGGCTATCTTTTAGTCATCTGGATTTTTGCAACCCAGATCTGATAACCTTAAAATAGACACTGTCGTGACATATGAATAAGAAACTATGAGCATCTCTCTGTATTAAATGATTCCAAAACACTGTGGTTTCTATATGCAGTTGTAAACTTCAGAGACAACAGAACTACTCTTGTTTACAAAATATTTCCCTCTAGAAGTTTGGGGATTATATTGCTCACAATTTCCTGGAATGACAAAGGGCATAAGCTTGGGGGGGGGGAGGTCGTTTGTATAATTGCACTTCCTGAAATTAGGCTCTTCGGGAGAGATTGGGATCCTTTGGCTGGACTTTGCATTCTTCCAGAATCTTTCAAAAAAGGACCGTGCTGAGTGGTAGAGGAAACATGACAAAGCCTAAGATTTGCTTACAGAAGATGCCAGTTTCAATATCTGGTATCTCTGGGGCAGATGAAGAAATAGCTTTTCTGGCATAATTCAGCATTTCCATAATTAGGTAACTCTAGTATTTTTGGCTAAATTCAGTTCCAGGGTGAAATTCCATCCAGTCCTACTCAGCATGGACCTCTCTGAAACAGAAGAATAAAGCAAATCTCTATATCCTCCTTGGTGTTTTATTGTTCTGCCTTGATGGATTTCTTCAGACCACTTTCTTTTTTTTAATGTCTGAGATAAAAATGGTCCTTTGATAAAACTGTCATGATTGACAAACTGAAATACATCAGGAGAAGTGGTTCAGTGCACTCCCAGAGCAACTAGCGTTTAGAGGTAATGTTGAAAGTGGTTTCTAGTTCCCATTTCTTGTTGCACAAGAAGAAGAGTTCAGTGCGACATTTAACAGTGATAAGACTCTGTTCTCCAAAGCAAAGTTGGGTCCATCCATTGGAGAAACAATAATCCTTTGCAGTCAGAGCTCGCATTTTGTATTATTGTTTAATGCAGTGGTTCTCAACCTTTTTAATGCTGCGACCCCCTCCGTGGTATCCGAAGCAGAACATCCAGATTCAGTCACAGTTTAGTTCCATATAGCATCAACCTTGTGAACTCTCAAGCTTCCTCTTTCCACTATGTATTCAAGATGGACAGTGATTAACATTTATATGTATTTATATGTAAGGTTGTAGGTATATACATATGTTGTAGATAACATGTTTGTACGTGTGTTATGTATGTGTACACTTTTGAGAGCAGGCAACAGAATTTCATTTTTTATGTGTGCCAGTGTGCCCACAGTAAAAAAAATGACATTAAAGGTTATCTTATCTTAGAACAGGGGTTCCCAACCAGGGGTGGTCACACCCCGGGGGTGAGAGACGATATTCCAGGGGGTGTGAAAACTTGGGTTTTCAAAATTATAGTGTATATGCATAATGCATTGCTGTTATTTAGAACTTTGGTAAGGGGTGTGAGAATATGTCAGAGACATTCCAGGGTTGCGGGGTATAGAAAAAGTTGGGAACTTGGACAGCACACCAGAGCTAATTTGTCATGCCGAAAACAAAAACGACACTTGGGAGATTCTTTCAAGCTGAGGTTGGTTTTTTTTTATTATTATTTCACATATAGACAAAATCTTGCCAAACTGAGCGCTGTACTGTCTTTGCCTCTATAACAGTGTTTCTCAACCTTGACAATTTTAAGGCATGTGGACTTCAACTCTCAGAATTCCACAGCCAGCAATGCTGGCTGTGGAATTCTGGGAGTTGAAGTCCACATGCCTTAAAATTGTCAAAGTTGAGAAACACTGCTCTATAATATACCTGTGAACTATTAGGGAGGGCCTTTGCCCTCTTTCTCTCACACATGACATCTGGGCTCAGTTGCCTCTTACTCCTCTGGAATGCACTTCCTCCTTCCTCCTGGGATTCCATCTCGCTACTACATTCCACCACATACAGGTAGTTCTCGACTTATAACAGTTCATTTAGTGATCGTGCAAAGTTACAACAACACTGAGAAAAGTGACGTATGACCGTTTTACACGCTTACGACCACTGCAGCATCCCCATGGTCACGTGATCAAAATTCAGACGCTTGGCAACAGGTTCATAGTTATGACGTCTACAGAGTCCCGGGGTTATCTGGTCACCTTTTAGTGACCTTCTGACCACCCAAGTCAATGTGGAAGCCAGGTTCGCTTAACAATGGTGTGACTAACTTAACAACTGCAGTGATTTGCTTAACAACCATGGCAAGAAAGGTTGTAAAATGGATCTTTCTTGCTTAGAACAGGAATTCTGGGCTCAGTTGTGGTAGAGGACTGCCTGTATTTTTTGCAAACGAATTCCACCCCCATTCCTCTAATTAAAAGACTGCAATGTTTGATGGCTCTAATCATTTCTCTGTCTTGCAAGTTAATAAGGTAAAGAGGTAGAGATGGACACCTCTTGCCAAATAACAGAACATTTCCACAGCATCCTGTGTGTGCAAGTATCATTTTCTTGCTTGCATCTAATGAGGGCTTGGATAGAATAGTAGTAATGAGGTGGAAGGAGGGAGAAGGAAAGCTTGTTTTGAGCAGGGCCCACACTCTAAGTTGATGACACACCCTGCATTCTGGAACATTCTTCTTGTGGTTTCCTTCTCTCCCATTGCCATCCGATACTATTAATACACTTACACAGAAAAACAGCAAAAATGCATTTGACTACTATAAAAGGACTTCCTTCAGTGTTTATCAGGACCAGCAGAATGTTTTGGAGGAGATTAAAGTCAATCCAAGCGTTAATTAGGAAAATACATTTGAAGCAGTATGGTGCCTTCTGAATTTGGCCTCGTGCTCAGCAGACCAATGAAGATCTATTCAATAGAACATTTTTGGTATGCATAATTACCATATCTGGATAAACCCAGACAGTCAATTGTTAACAGCAGGAGTCTTGCTGCTTCTTTTTGCTGTACTTAGTGGTTATCTGAATTTTTGTAGCCCTTAAATGAAAGCTCTACAGCAGCCAAGTGCTCAAAAGCAAAGCTAAGAAAAATGGGGCTTCCTCTGTTTCATTGTCCTGAGCATCCGGTTTTCAATAGTATATTGTTTCTGAACATGATGGAGGTTTCATGATGCTAACCTGCCCAATAATGGGTGGTTAAACTGGTGACCACAGGCTTCTTAGGCTTCAGTTTCTCTCGGTCATCAAAGCCCATAGTAAAGGACTGTGGGAACTGTAGTTCAAAATGTTTTGCAGAGCTTAGGGCTACCAGTTCCATTAAGGCAAAGCAATAAAACATGGAGCCTATAAAGAGCTGTCAGGTATAGAGTCAGAATCACCCTTGTCTGTTGCTGTACTGAACTAGATCTGAGCAATATTCAGTTTGCATAATGGAGTAATTCGTGATTAACTAAGCTAGCATGTCATCCAAATCCAGTCTGAAGGGCGGGAATCTTTATTGTGCTAACTAAGCTGTCCTTCTCTGTTTGGGTGGATACGTAGCAATTATCCTCAGATGAGTGAGGCTCTTCTCAGCTATTTCCAACAACTGATTATGGTATCTTGGTACATCCATTGCAATAGAAATATGGCAAGCAGGCTATTAGGAAGAGTGATGGATGAGCCACCCAAACACATTCCCTGTAAAAATTCACCACAACGTCAGCAACAACAAAAGCTGTGTGTTCTCATTCCATTAACATGTTCTCATTCCAATAACAAAGCAGCTTATAAGATGAAAGGGATATTTAAAAATCATATAAAAATACAAATTAATCCACAAGTCCTTGAATCATTGGGAGTTAGGCAGTATGTAAATTTAGTAAATTAAATAAAAAGTTCATCATGTAAAGTGCCAGGGGATGACACCATCTTCAGTATCAGGAGTGGTTTGTCTCCTTGAGGCATTTCTACAACTCCCCATCTCTGGAGAGGATGGCTAAGGATTCACTTTTGCCATTCTTTTGATGTCCAAGTGAAGACTTCATTCTAGACTTTTGCTGTAGATTAGAAGATGGCTGCCCAAAGTGAGGATATTCTGTACCTCTTTGCTGCCATCTCGTGGGTAGGTGTACTATTGCAGCCTAGATTACATAATCTTAGAGTCTCTTAGGCCTTTAAGGTTGAATTTCTGTGAAGTTTCACAACACATTCTTTTACCTTAAAGCATTGTACAAGTTAGACTGCTGACTAAATACTGCAGAAAGAAAGTGTTCTCCTAAGCTAGGTATCAGCCAGTCAGTTGAAAATGTCACATCATTTCTCAGTTTTCCATTTTGCCTCTCCTCCCTATCCCCATCAACCAATATGCACTGGTCCTGAGCACAATTAATTCTTTTTGGAATATTCTATTTTCTGTGAAGCTTGGCACCCCCCCCTCCCAACCCCCCCCCCCATGATCCATTCCATCTTGTGCATGGAGGATGCTTTTTTGTTTTGGGTAATACATACCTACTGTAAATTTAGTAAAAAGCTAATTACATAAATTACATGGGGATGACCCCAACAGATATATTACCTATTAGAATCTACCTAAAATTCTTACGTGTATACATCCTCAAGAACAAAGCTGTCAAGATATTTCAAATGAAAGAAAAGATAGTATTTCAAGGCTGGATACAAACTAGTGGCAAAAGGGGAATATAGGTAAAGAATCAAAGGATGGAGAATGGGGCTATCAAACTGAATTTCAGGTTGATGACACTGATTACACAGAATGTCTATGGAGATTCTCAGTCATCCAGGTCATGACTGTCCCAAAGGTGATTACACAGAAGACTTAATTTCTATTACCCCAAGAAAGCGGGATCAAACTGCAAAGAAAGATATCCAGGCTAGAACCGGGACCTTCCTGACTGTACAGTACTAATTAGCAGCCAGTGGAACAGGCTGCTAAATGAAGCAATGAGTTCATCGCTAGAGATTTTCACACCATGGTTGGATGATGGGAGGTGCTTTAATAGATCCTGCACCAAGCATGGGACTGGACTAAATGAACTTTAGCATCTCTACTACTTTAATTCTACGCTTCTAATGTTTGTGTGTGGGGAAAGCATTGCAGAAAGTGGGCTTTGAGACCTCACATGACCAGGTTCTGCCATCAGGGAATGTGAAAAGATGTAGCTTATCAGGTTATGAGCTTCTTCCTGATCAGCATTCTTCCTGATCGTTTTTGTTCAATTCTTTTTGACTGAATATAATCCCCTCCCAGTCATTGTACCATCAGATGATCAGGCTTCTTTTTGTTTACCGTTCTGGGGGGGGGGAGGGCAAGGCCATTCAGGGTGTGTTGTGTGATGCTGGAGGGTTTGTGGACTATGGACATGGTAGGAAATCAAGCCCGGTGCCAATTCTCTTGCAAGTAATAGCAACTTTAAGATGATTTAGAAGAAAGGAATAGGTATGGAGGAAATATTAACCCTGAGAGCCAGTATAGTGTAGAGGCTAAGGTCCTGGGCCAGAAATCAGTAAGAGTCTGTTAGCATCTTTTCCAACTAAATAATTTTACTAAAAGGCGTAAGCTTTGTGAGCAACAATTTGCTTCCTCAAAAGCAGGGAGTGGCAAAACGTGGGTGGGACTATGACCAGGAAGACTGACATTTGATTTGACGGTCAGGCACTAGAAATCCCCATGAAACTGGATCGTCCCTGCCTTTCCACCCAACATACCTCAGCTGGACTTTATGGTAAGGATAAGGTGAAAAGAGAGACAAGACCAGTGGTGGGATTCAGTTAGTTCGCATCACTTCGGCAAACCTGGTAGTTAATTTTTTGTTGCCCAGGCCCAGCACTGACTTCCGGAAGCGGCATCGACACAGAGAACTAGTTGTTCACATATTTGAATCCCACCACTGGACAAGACTCTTGCAAAATGCTATGAGGTCATAGAGGAAAAGAGCTACAAATTACAGAAGTGGTTTATGCCTCCAAACCGGATACCATAGCCTCTGTTTAATTATCCCATTGCAAGTGGTTTTGATAACAACGACATTCGTATGCTGCTCCTAAAAGGCATCCAGTCAGGATAGCACAGACATGCTACCCGCGTCACAGAAATATATGCATGACGATATATTTCTAAACATTTCAGACAAAATCTCTTCCACAACATAACACCTCTTCTTTCTCACAAGATGCAATTATTTTCAAAATGCACCTACCACATTGAACCGTGGGCAAACTGACTTTATTATGGGGATATGTGTGAATCCCCAGCTGTTGCCTGCAAAATAGCAGGTGTTTATGTTAAGCTGTCTTTCTTTTCTTCTTTCAAGATTCTCACCTTCACCCTAGAATGACTGCCAGGGGAGGGCCTGTTCATGTGAACGCTTAGCCTGCTTTGGACCAAGATCACTATTCTGCTTGATAGAACGACATTTGCTGAATCCCTGGAATGGGGAATACAGGCAGTGCTTGATTTACAACCATTCCAAGTTACAACAGCATTGAAAAAAGTGATTATGACTATTTTTCACATCTACAATCACTGCACCATCCCCACAGTCATAGGATCAAATGCGGATTGCTTGCCAACTGGCATCTGTTTACTACAGTTGCAGTGTCCCAGGGTTATGGGATCACTTTTTGTGACCTTCTGACAAGCAAAGTCAATGGGGGAAGCCGGATTCGTTTAACAACTGTGTTATTAATATAACAACTGCAATGATTCACTTAGCAACTGTGGCAAGAAAGTTTGGGAAATGGGGCAAAACTCACTTAACAACTGTCTGGCTTAGCTACATAAATGTTGGGCTCAGTTGAGGTCATAGTGATTTGTCTAGTTTAACTCTTTAGCATAACTGTGCTTCTTCTTTGGATTAATTAGTATATTAGCATTATCTTCCCTCCCTTGGCCAAGTATTGTACCATCATAACTACAGATGTGGTTTAGATCAGGGGTCCTCAACCCCCGATCCATGGACCGGTACCAGGCTGTGGCATGCCAACAACCGAGCCACACAAACAAACATAGAAATGCAGGCAACACACAAAACCACACACTCTCCAGTCCACGGAAAAACCTTTCTCCACAGAACTGGTCTCTGGTGCCCAAAAGGTTTGGGACCTCTGGTTTAGATTGTTTGTTTCAGATATATAGGAGAAAAATCCTTTCTTTCACTGGGATGTTATCGAAAGAAAGAGAGCATCTGCTTTGGGGTGGCTCAGGGATAACTGATAAGTTGCGATGATTAGCCTCTTGTATTAGGATGAGGTGGGTGGACAAAATCCATTTTCCTCGGTTTCTCATTCAACTCTGAACTTTTATTGAATGTTTTTGACCCAGTCATTGCTTCTCATCCCAGCCTACAAGATTTACAAGGGGTAAAATTGGAGTATACTATAGTATGTATACCAGCTTGATCCAGGATATGAAAAATATTCAGGACAATATGAAAAATGTCCAGAAAGCAGAAATGAACAACAGCCCAACTTCCCTTTCAACTTTATCTAACCTCTCATTTTGGTGGGACAATTTAGGAGAACTAAAAAAGACAAGGGCTGTACCCATATCATTTTCAGATCACAATAAAACTATAAAAGTGAAAGAACATTTCAAGATAAATACCTTTTCTTGGGCTCGGCTGAGCTGCTTTTGAACCCGCTTAGCAAACAGGCCGGCACCTCCTGTCTTGCCTTCTGCCATGGCTGTGACTTGCTGTGTACAACTTCTGTTTTCAGCATCAGCTTTATTTGTGGTTTATTTTTTTTCTTTAAGGAAGGAAGTCAAGACGTGTTAGTGATCACTAGGCTGGGCTCTGCCTCACCATTGGTTTGAGGCATACTTGCTTCCTCTGCTGGGTTCTGGATAAGCAAAGTTTCCCTCACAGATAATGTAAGGTGGAAAGTTGTTCTTGTACGTGTCAGGCCAGAAAAACCTTAATTAAGGTCAAAACCCAACACTAGGTAAATAGAAAACAAAAAATGCAATTAGGTATATTGAGTCCACGTGCAAGCAAATTCATGGATCTCATAACATCATTATAAAAAACTAATGCTGACTGTTGTCTCATCTTGGGCCTTATCCAGTGATGGGATTCAAATATGTGAGCAACCAGTTTTCTGTATGGGTGCCACTTCCAGAAGTCCATTCTGGGCCTGGGCAACAAAAAATTAGCTACCGGTTCTGCTGAAGTGGTGTGAACTGGCTGAATCCCACCACTGGCTTTATCTGTTGTTGTATGTTGTGTGGAAAAACTGCTGCCTGGCTATTTAAGTAGCACATATCCTCATCTTCTAGAATGGCCTGGAAATTTTTATTTTTATTTTTATGATAATCCTTGGATGTGAAGCCACTGACTCTATGGATATAGTCAACATTGATCGGGAGCAGCCCGCAGTTGGTTATGAGACAGGCAACAGTTAGAGTTCTCTGGTGGCTGATTTCTTTAAAAAAAAAAAAAAAAACCAGCTAAACTCATGCTAGGTTTTGATTTCTCATTTAATGTATTTTATTCCTTCTAAGAATAGACTTAAATCAAAGTCAGTCCATCCCCATTTGTTTGTATAAGAGCGATCACAGATCATAGAAATCTTCTTCCTGAACAGATTTTGTAATTTCCCATCTCTTGTTTAGATATCTCATTGCCTGCCACTCTTATTTCTGCAGCATGAAACTTAATCATGATGTCTTTCTTTCAAAAATAGAGCCATTGTTTGTTGATTTTTAAAAAATATTTCCATCTTGCTAATCCTATAGAGTCCTACAATTTTGGTCATTAGTGGGCTACTTTCTTCAATATTTTGACTCACAATAGGACTCCGTATGTTTTGAAAATAATTGGAAAGAAAGCTTTAGATCTTTTGCAGGCACAGCTTCTCTCTACTATTCATTCAAGCAAATTTGGACAGGAAGGAGGGGAAAGCTTTGGTCAAAGCCAGATTTAAAGGGGGAGGGGGATTTGATTATAGAGTTGAATTAACTTTGGTGAATGGGATTCTTAAAGCCACAGCACCATTTATTTTTCCCACCTCACTTGGAAGCCTGCAAAAGTGTGACTGTCTTAATGAATTATATAGAAATGGTGCACTCACAAAAAGCCCTAAACACTTCTCTTAAATTATTTTTGAAGCATGCACAATTCTTACTGTGTGACTTATAGAGGGAAGTGTATAAATGGAAAATGTCAGAGGTGACATTCATTTTCTAGCCTATACTAAAGATAAGGGAGTTTCAATATTGTTTTAAATTGTTCTGCAGATGATGGGATATTTATATTTTACAGGACTTCCTCTTTGGGGAACAATCAATTAATATAGAGAGCTACTGTCCTCACTCACCTTACCACACGAGGTCACTGCTTTTCATCTAAATCATCCTTATTGCAAATACTAACATTAAGTCATGACTGGCTTTTGGGGTTTTTTTTTTTTTTTGGATATCTAGTAGCCTTAGAACATCAATGCTAGATAAATCTTAAAATATCTAGTAATTATTCTGTTCTGATAGAACCTCTTCAGCTGCTATACTTACAGAAGCAAAAGATATAACATGTTTTGCTTTATCATTACAAAAGGTAGCAACATATCAGCTATCAGATTGTGCAGGAAAAATTCAGACAAGAGTTTTCTGTATCACTTTGTTGCCCTCCAGATGCCCTCCAGATGTTTACAGCCAGACCAATAGGATATTGGAAGTTAGGAATGAAACCTTTCAATCTTAGAGAACAGAAAAACTATGTGTCGCTGGAAGTTTGTTTGTTTTTAAAAGGAAGGTTGTGGAAAGAAGAAACTAATAGTTTGAACAGCTTATGCTGTGTTTTGAACTGCAACCTTCCATTTGCAAGGCAAAAGTTGTTGTATAGCCATTCTGCTATATTTATAGTAAAGATGGGTTTAAAAGATATTAAAACAAAATAGGTCAGATAGCTTGTTGTACATGCTGCATGTTAATGCTTTAACTTTCTGTGTTTAGACAAGCAAGAGCAGTTTGGTGTATTGGTTAAGGCACCAGGGTGGAAACTGGGAGATTGTGAGTTCTAGTCTCACCTTAAGCATGAATAACATCAAAAGTTCAGAAAGAAAGAATAAAAAGTAGAAAGAACAAGTTTTTGGTTTTCTTTGCCTCAAACATAAGTACAATTACAAATTTATCTCTTATTTGATGATTACAAAAAACACTCACTCTTTTCTATTAAACAATTTTTTCTGCTTATTAAAATCACAAATCATAAGTGCATTATTTTCCATTTTACGCAAAAGTCTGTAAGGGATTTCCAGTCAACCATAAATGTAGATATTGGGTTTTTTTTAAATCTAATCAAAAATGTTAACAAATTCCATTGTTTTCTATTGTGGGTTTTGTGCTAAAATATAACAGCAGTTTTTCTAATGTGACTTTGGATGCATTTCAGAATAGAAAAAGAATAACTATATTTAGTCTTAAGAAATACTGTAAACATGGAATGAAGAATCATTGTATATTATGATACAGGCACTAATATTGCCAGGTTGAGATTTTGCAAGATGTTGAAAATCAAATGCATATTGGGTATCTTAATAATAGATTTTAAAAAACACCTTTGCTTTCTTTATATATGTTTATAATCCCAAACCAGCATGGATAAAATGGGAATTTCAATTCAAAGCAACATCATCTTCAAGAGCACTGGGTTGGGGAAATGGTACAGAATAAAGGCTGAATAAATTCAGCTCCTTTGTAATGAACTTTAGCAGTTAAATTTGGCTCAATCATAAAATACACTCAACAAAAACTATACTTATAAACAGAAAATATGCTTGGAAGTGTTTTCAATGGATGCCATCTAATCATTACATTATATTGAATAGGATGAAAATTTTAATTGGGATGCCTCTCTTTATTATGGCACAACCAGTCATGCATAAACATCTGTCTTGTGCATGATCGGACCTTATTACTTCCACACTGATTTAATTAATAAAATTTATATCCTGCCAAATTAAAGCAAAAAGTCAAAGAAGGCATCGGAGGAAGCCACAGCAGAACAAAGTAGCTTATCAGTGGCCCGCAGCTTCTTTTTCCACCTGATTTTACCATTTTTACATATATTTTCCATTATTTCAATTTAAAAATGTGCTGTCTGCCTTATCTTCATTTCCAAGCATGCGTTTGAACCACACACGAGCCCTGATGGCTTTTTGCAAAAAAGTGGAAATGGGAACAATTGCAGTCCAGTGTTTTCTTTAAAAAGGATGCCATTTTCTCAGGAGACATAAACCAAAAGGAAACCTGGGTGATAAAGTGACCTTTGGGGTTCTGGGAGTAAGGTCGCCAATTTGCCTTTTACCAAAGAATGGTTTGTGACTTGTTAAGTTACCAGAAAACCTATATAGGTGCTTCTATGGAGTCCGAGGGGTCAAGAATGATTTGAAGGTATCTGTAACTTTTCATGTCCACCTTGACAGTCGATAGAGATCTGTAGTCCAGGTCCTGCATTCCTCCTCTGCACCAGGGCAATTTGGCAATTGGGGATGGTGGTGGTAATAGTAGTGGTGGTGAAGATAATCCAGTGGTCTCCTAGAACAGGAGTCCCCAACCCCCAGTCCTTGGGCCAGTATCGGTCCATGGCATGCCAGCAACCAGTCTGCACAAACAAGCAAAGCCCCATCCGCGAGATGCACACAAAACCATGCCCCCATCCAGTCCATGGAAAAGCCTCTCTCCACGGAACCGATCCCTGGTGCCCAAAAGGTTGGGGACCTCTGTTCTATTTTCTAGTTTGTGGTGTTTAGGATGCGGTGTTCCAGGTGAAATAGGTTTGATAGTCTACATCTGGGATGTTACAATTAATTGTGTCCAATTTTGGAAAATTATCTTCCAGAAAACAACTGGACAACCTCTGGCTCAACCGGATTGGCATGGTCTGTGGAGAAACAACATTGCAAATTGTTCTGTTCTGGCAGATGCAACTTTTGCACATGCCTAGCAGTTGGTTCATAAATGTGTCAGCCATGTTCTTGGCAGTCACTTTATGAGAACATTCACAATAATCCTTTATGGCTCAAAATAGCAATAGTACTTAGACTTATATACAGCACTCTCTAAGCGGTTTACAGAGTCAGCATATTGCCCCCCCAACAATCTGGGTCCTCATTTTATTGACCACAGAAGATGGAAGGCTGAGTTAACCTTGAGCCGGTCAGGATTGAGAGAGTCAAATTCCTGGCAATGTGAGCAGATTTAGCCTGCAATACTGCATTCTAACCACAGCTCTTAATGTGGATGTTGGTGGACTTCTGGGAGAGATATGGCAAAACTAAGCTGACTCTGTGGCAGAGCCATGACTGTGGCAAAGATCAAGAACTGATTCCTTTGAACCTCTCTGGATAAGCAGAGGATAGGAGATGTCCACATATGGTTTGAGTGGCTGGTCCTTGCAAGGAGATTGCATGACAGCAGTTTTCCATGTGTTTGAGTGCCAGGAAATAATGGGATCAATCATCTTGCTTATAATAATGGCAGAGCCTTTTAACAAGCATGAGCAAACCTCACTTTTGAATCATTGGAAATGGATATTAACCATCTTAAAGCTATTGAAGAACTTCAGAACAACAAGTCTGAAAAGTCTTTATTGGATAATTTTATCAACACTGAACAAAAGAAAATAAAGAATGTTAAGGATTCAAAATAAATAGCAAAAAACTAAATAAGATTTTGATCTGAGAAGATTATAAATGTATTA